CCACACTGGTGTCCCAGGCACCAGTGACAGGGTGCAGGAGCAGAGGGTCCCAGCCAGCAGGGGCTCTATGGAGCCAGGCGAGCTCCCCACTCTCCCTGCTGGTGCAGCCCAGCCCAGCTCCACAAACCCCTGCATTAAAGACCCCCTCGTTGGACCCTGAGACATGAAGCTTGTTACCTGTAGGAGCAAGCTCTGCTGTAGAGAGAGCACCAGCCTGGAGAGGTATTGCAGAGGCCCAGCTGGCGCCCTTAGTGGCTCCCAAAGCCCTGGACCGGGAGACGGATGAGCCGTAAACTGGTGGTTTCACAGGTTGCAGTGTTGAAGGTGAAATGGCAGGAGCACTCCTCTCCTTTGGGTTGGCTTGGCCCTGCTGGAAGACAGCCACCTTCTCCGATACTCTGCTCCCTTGCTTCCCTCCAGGATGTCTGGGCACATTTCCATCCACACACCCCAGCTTCTTGTTTCCGCCCCTCACCTTTCCTGCTTTGCTCCAGGGGGGCCCACGCTCTTCCTTCTCCAAAACGGCGACGCTCGGTAACTGTTTTGGTTTCTTTCTCACTGCAGTATCTGCAATGGGTTTTCCCTCTGGCGCCTCAGGCCTTCGCCAGTTCAATGCAGTCTTTTCCCAGAGCCATTCGCTCTTCCTAGGTTTGTGGGGGCTTCTGTCTGCTTTTCCCAAGGGGGGCCCGCTAGTTTCGAGCTGGTTTCTCAAGGAGGCAGATTCACTCTTGGGTCCTTTCATTTGGCAAGCTGGCTGCAAGCTGAGCTCTGAATGCGACTCTTCTCCAGCTCTACTATATCTGCTCTGGGGCTCTGACCTTAGACCGGCTATTACCATTGCCTGCCGGGGCTGGTGTTTATGTCTGCAAACGAATCTTTCCTTCTCATTTCCTCCTCTAGCTTTGGCAAGCAGCTTGCAACGGCTTTTGCAGCAGAACGCACCGTGGAGGGCAGTGTAATTATGCAGGCTGCAAAACACACATTGAGCAGAGCAGTTAAATACTTTGTGGCATGAAAATGCCTATTATTAGCATGGATGGAAAAATCCCCATCAACATTGTTTTGGATGGAAAATTTTGATTTTCAATTAAACAAAACTTTCAGAAAAGCAGCTGGTGACTTTAGAAAGGCTTGATTTCTTTTTTTTAAATCAGTAAACATCTAAAAAAATAAAATAAAGCAGTCCCATTACCCACAGAAGTGTCTCATGGGAGCTGTAGTTTAGTTTTCTCATGGCCCCATTCCCCGCCTGGGCCAGGCTCTGCTCTCAGACACCATCTCCCTTTATGCCAGTGATTTTCAGCCAACGTGCTGCAGTACCCCAGGATGCTGTGGGATCCTTTTAAAGCAGGGGCGGACCATTATTTCGGGTTGAGGGCCGCTTGCTGAGTTTGGGCAAGCATCGAGGGACACATGACAGGCAGCTGGGGCAGATAAATATTAATTTTCTAATTTTTTTAGGGGCCCCATGGGCCAGACAGAATGGCCTGGCAGGCTGCACTTGGCCCACAGGCCACATTTTGCCCACCCCTGTTTTAAAGATACCATAGGGTGCCATATGATAATAGTGCTGTTAGATGTGCAAACAATTATATGCAATTCACATGATACCTCAAAGATTTCCAATAGGACTCCATAATATCAAAACCATTCTGACCCGCTGCGGTCTTTCTGAGTTCTTTGCAACAGAAGAATTGTTCTGTTATTTCTCCATAGTCAAAAAACAAGTGAAAACTGAGAGCTGGCATTTTCCAAGGGGTGCCTTGAGTCTAAAAAGGTTGAGAACCACTGATCTATGCATTACTTCCAGGGACTCCCACGTTGTGAGCAACTCCCTTCACAATGAAGAGATAGCATGGGGAGATGTCATCTGATCACGGAGTCTGGCCTTTAGGGGAGAAGGGGAACACAGGACGCCCGGTCCAGAATTTCATTTCACATAGAGGACGACCAAACCGCAATTGCGAGCAACACCAAGTGACTTGACTAAAGCAGAGGAGCGATTCTGTTGCCTTCTTGGGGTGCATACATTTAGGTTCTCTCTCCCTTCTCATATTTGGATATTACAGGATCATCCCTACTAAGGATGATGCTTTCCCCTTGATCTTCAAAATACCCCCCCTTTGGCACGCACCATGTCATTAAGTGGCAAGCATGGATTTACAGAGGGAAGGAGACTTCCAACAAACTGCTCATTCCCCCGGTGCAAATTAATCAGGAGTCTGCAAAGTATCTTGCACCAGCACCAGCTAAGATGAAGGTGTGGTCAAGAGTAAGATGCCATTTGGACTCTCCTTCAGGGAGTCTAAGGGCCCCGGGGTGGTTAGATGTCTCCTGTCTTTGCCAAGACTGTGTTTGGTATCTGCAAAGGTTGCAGGCAAGAAAAGCTGCTCTTAGTACCATCTTCTTCAGACATCTTGGGTTGGGTTGAATGTGGCCTAACATCATAACAAGGCATATCAACACTTCTGAGTAACACTGAATAGGAAGAACAGCAAGGGATGAAAGAGAATCTGGAAAAACATATGTGATCCCTGGCAGCGAAGGACAATTTGCCCTGGGCATCTTGACTGTGTTGTTAGGGAGCTGCATTTGATTGACACACCTTTTCCTTTGGGAATGAGGACAATCTCAGAGCAAACTCTCAGTGAGTCTTGCTCTGAGCTGATGGGGCTACCTTTGTGGCTAATGAAATATCTAGGCACCCTGGTTCAAACCCCTAGTGATTCCACAAAGCATTCATTTCTAAAGCCTCTGATGCACAGTAAACTGCATGCTGTTTAATAAGGCCCATAAGTGGAGACTTCCTCACTTGAAGTCACTCAGCTGAGCCTTTCTAAAAGATAACTTCTAGCTCAACCACAGGTCATGGGCTTGATGAAAATATTGCTGGGTAAAATCTTATGACCACTGTCATTCATGAGGTCAGGCCGCACCATCACAATGGTGTCTCTTGTTCTTAATAATGAGGTCTCTAAATCAATAAACTGAACGTCGTGCAACCTGCAGGATGTGTGTGAGAGATATTTAGAAATGGATGTCCTGTTACTTTTGTTAAGGGTCCCAGGACTTTGTCCTGGATGTTCCAGGTCAACATGTCCTCTCACTTAATAGTACGTTGTGTGCTGGTTGGTTGCCAGTTTCCATCTCAGAAGTTTATTCAAGTCTGTAATAAAACAGCTCCTTTACAATTAATTTTTGGACCATCCGAAGGGGAGACAGTCTCGAGGAAAGTCTGTGTATGTCTACACTGCTACTTAGGGTTGTCCCTCTGGGCCTCCTTCCAACCCCTCCAGACCAATCATCCATGTTGATAAGTCTTTAGCTCAGCCCCAGAGCATCTTTAGCCTGACCCCAGAAGCTCTGCTGAGCATCAGAAGCTGAGGTGAAGCTGTCTCCTACTCCACCTCCCTCTGCAGGACCGTGCTCAGGGTTTACCCAGGTTGCTGCAGGCTATGAACTCATTCCTGGCTTCTAGCCTTTCTGTGCCCCTTTTCCTGTCTATACTGCATCTAATTAGAGCCAAGTACAGAAGAAGATGCTAACAGTGGGTAGACTGACTCATAGAAGGGCTCCACTTGAGGAACAAGAATCTTACTGTGGTTGCTTCACTATAGGGCTATACTGAACAGCGTCTCAAATTAATCAGCAATGTGCTAAATCCAATGCAGGTTTCCTTTAGGATATGGAGTGGGGTCTGGGAGGGATGCAGATTCTTCCTGCCTCAGCTTCTTCGGCCCCAGTCCACGAGTCTTGGTTCACAGAGTCCTAGCACCACATATTCACGGCTGGAAGGCTTCAAGCCCTAGCGATGGGGAAAGCAATCATGTCTGAGACATTGTTCTCCTGGTTATACCTACTGCAGAGATGTTCCTTGTTGGCACTGCTACAAGAGGACCATTGGGTCTTTATGCTGTAAGCCACTCTGAGTTGTCTCAAAAGAAAGTGGCACCAGGTCCTATTACTTGCCTGAGCTTTTCTCCGCAGACCTTGCAGCTGAAACACGAGTTGTGCAGAAGGGCCTGATCAACAACCACCCGCTCCATAGAATAGACAGGCCGAAGGCAGGAGGAACATACTTCCTTCATCATGGACTGAAATGGCAAAGAAGAAACCAAAGTCAATTAAACCAAAATGTAATAGGCAGCATAGCTTTGCTGAACTTGCTCCAGGAGTTTCACTTCCTTGTCATTTTAAAATTAATGTTAATGTCACTTTTCTAAAAGCTTTAAACTCAGGATTGATCCAAGGCATCTGCCATCATGTATAGGATCAGAGTCTGGGGTTCAAACAGGAATGGATGAATGGGTTTGCAGAACAGAAGACTTGCCCTGGGCCTTTATCCCTTTCGTGAAATAAGGCAAACTGAGACAAGAAAGACTATCCTGTAAACTCTTCATTGGATGAGCAAACCTATGGAGGTCTTTGGAAGCAATGTCCCTAGAGATGCTCACAGAAACTGGGCAGCTCAGACCAGAAAAAGGCAGAAAATGTAAATGTTAAAGTTCTACTAGCTACAGTAATCTGCCTGGTCTGATCATCCAGCATGTTTTCTGGTAGACTACATTTTGCAATGTGATGGGATTCAGCTAATGACAAGTCATGGGAAGAGCTGCAGCGAATCACTGTGGTATGAATGCCCTAGCCAATTTGATTCTGGAGAGTGTGAGTGTGAGAGAGCGCGACAGAGAGAGTGTGAGAGTGTGTGAGCAAAGAAGCATGGGCTGTAGCTCAGCTGCAGAAATAGCCATGAGTTGTTTGCATGGTTAAGCAAGTCTTTAAAGCTCACAGCAATATGGGTAGATCACTGGGTCCAGTTTTCATCGTGACCCGGTTCTACATATCTAACCTTGATGAATCCTTTTGTAAGCTTGGCCAGTTTAATTTTCCAGGGGCACAGCCCACAAAGTGGTGGAGATGAGATCATCCCCTGACCACACTGGAAACCAATTCAGCTTGTTTGCTCCACCAACTTAACCAACAGCCATTGGTCAAATGAATGTGAATCTGATTTTTCTTCCTGAAAGCCAGCCCATTTCTTTAGCCGCATGTTTTGCTGTTGCTCTCTGATTACTCAGTCTCTATATCCAGTGCATTTACCTTTGCGCACAATTTCCTAGGGAGCCTGCAAGAGACTTTCTGCCCTTACTTGGAACAGGTCAACAGCCACATTTTTATGCTGCATTTTAAAGAACAGTTCCATTACTACACTCCCAACATACCTTTAGAGATGACATGCTAAGGGGAAAAATATTGTGCTTTTCATTTGTAACTGATGTCTAAAGGTACCCAGACTTTTTAAAATCCCCTATTTCACTTTGAAAATATCAGGGAATGTCAAACTTGCTCATTACTGGATGACTGCAGGCACAGGACAGCCGGACCGAGAGGTTCTACAGCCTGTCATTACAGTTTGGAAGCTTTCAGAAGGACAGAGATGTTAATAGACAAATTTGTGAATAATTTAACAAAAAATCCTAGCTAATTCTCTATTGCCCATGCCCACTGATGTCACATTCCCATTAGTTCTGTAGTTCTTCACAGAGGGAGTGTCTACATGACATGCGTTAATGTGCATTAGCCTAATTTAATGTGCATTATGGGTGCACATCTACATGTACGTGGCCTTAATGCACATTAAAAATGGCAAAATTAGGCTAATTGCACCTAAATTCAATAACTGCAAATGCCCTGCAAATGCATTTGCAGGTATTGAATTTAGGCACAATTAGTTAAAGTGCATTAATGCTCATGTAGACATGACCTGGCACTAACTTTAGTGCTGGGTCTGCCCAGTCACTAGGGGCCCGTGGCAGGGCTGCAGGGACATGGCACTAACTTTAGTGCCAAGTCGCTGCGCATGTAGACACCTACCAAAAATTGCATAGTGCACATTAAATTTAGCTGTGCTTAAGTGCACATGTACGTACACCCAGAGAGTAGAAATAGATTATAGCAATTTTTGTAAACTGGTACATCAACTCAGGTATATCACTATATGTATATGGTTTAAATTAAAAGCCAAAAGTGAGTTTGTGACTATCCTTGTGTTATTTAGATGTTTCCCATTTGCATTGCCCATGACTAGATATTGATAGGGCAACATTGTAAGGAGATAGTGTGCAAGGTAACTTAAGTTAAACATCAGATTAACACTGGGGTTAAACAGAGCAACATTGACCCATAATATCTGCTCAGTATCCTTACTAACTTAGCAATAGATAAGGAGATTCAGTCAAGGACCCAGAAAGTTCCCCTTAGATTTGGTTGTTCATGTGGTGGTCTGGGGACACAGGGTGGCATCCACCTTCAGGCAAAGATCTAACGGTACAGAGCAAGAGTGAATTCCTTTCTGTTATACATTGCTAGGACACAGGATTGTGATCAGTACCGTACCAACGAGCTCAAAAAATTTCCAAAGATGAGACCTTAGCAAGTAGAAAGGGGTGTGATAAAAATGACTAGGAGCAAGTTACTGGAGCATGATGGTCTTGCCATCACATAGATAATGCTGATGAAATACAGTGGTGGTGTTTGAATGACGCTGAGCTGTGATAGTCCAGGAATTGTGAGAGGCAAGGATTCCTTTGGGTGACATCTTTTGTCAGACCACCTGAAGGGACCAGAAGAAAAATGTTTTGCGTTCAAAAGCTTGTCTAACTCTATCCCGACTATACAGTTGGGCCAATGTAAGATATCGTCCAAAGAAATCCTTGCCTCTTGATGAAACACAAAGGGACAGCTCGCAGGACTGAAGCACCATCACGGATGGCTACAAACTGTTCAGGAAGGACAGGCAGGGGAGAAGAGGAGGAGCAGGAGTTGCACTTTATGTAAAAGAGCCATATGATTGCTCAGAGCTCCAGTATGAAGCTGGAGACACTCTGACACCTTCTGGGAGGAAAAGACAGCAATGCACAGGCAATCCAGGAAGTTTTTGGACAGTGTTGGGAACAACTTCCTAGTGCAAGTGCTGGAGCAGCCAACTAGGGGCCATGCTCTTCTTGACCTGCTGCTTAAAAACAGGGAAGAGTTGGTGGGGAATGTAGTAGTGGATGGCAATTTGGACAGCAGCAACCCCGAGATGATTGAGTTCAGGATCCTGAGGAAAGGAAGGATGGAGAGCAGAAAAGTAAGGACCCTGGACTTCAGAAAAGCATGGATGAGAGGTGGGTACCTATAGCTGAAAATACTAGCAGAGGTCAGACAGGAAAAAAACAACTTTTAGAGAGGGGAATCTCAGCCACAACTTGCAGCTTGTGCACTACAGACACAAAGCACAGAAAAGTTGTCACGTTAGGGTTGCTATCAGAATAATTAGTGGAGAACCATAAGAGGTGAAGGACAGCTGTTTGAAATTAGCCATCAGTTATGACTAGGAAACACAGAGCATTAGCCAATGTACCACATTTACCAATATCCCCAAATAAGATGCACAATTTGCTTTTGGAAAGCAAAATGTAGAGAAAAAAAAAGATTTTTTTCAGAGTCAAGGCCAATTGTGTGACCTAGAGTACGTCCTACTGGAACCATAGCCTGTCCAGGAAATGTGGCATCCTTCTCTTCCAGCCAAGAAAAAAAAATCAGCTTCCCTACTAAAGACATGCACTCCAATTTTCAAGTGCTTATTTTTGGTAGAAAGGTGCATATAATATGCAGCTAAATATGGTATCTATTTGATCTCTGTGGGCACCTATACATGAGCAGCGAGGCTGCTCCGATGCGCTGTAATTCCAGTGCGTTGGAGCAGACTTGATTAATTAAGTCTGGCAGAGAGTGATAAATACTGTGCTCCAGCAGACTCCAGCATCTCGTGTATCAGTGTACCTGCGCTTAAAAATGGCAGTGGGGTTGCTTTAACTAGAGCTCATTGAATGAGCTTTAGTTAAAATGACCCAGCCGCCATTTTTAACCATGGGGACGCTGATACACGAGATGTTATTTAATTAGAATGCCTCTTTTTAAAAAAATTATAGCACCTGGGCTCCAACAATGACACTTCCCAAACTCAGAGCATCCATTCACGGCTGGTTTCAGCTCATGCCCAATACACATTGTCCTTTTGGGGAAGGAACATTAAAAATAAATTATTTGAAGAAAAGTTTGCAGCTGCTTCAGGCCAAATGGATATACCAAAGAATGGAGCGGCCATATGCATGTGTTTTTGGGCTTCTGTTGCAGACAGCCAGGTATCAAAGGAAATGGGTGGCTTGAGGTGACATGCAGTAGCTAATGACACTAGGTGTGTCCTGTGGATCCAGTGGCATAGGAACACCAGAATGGAAACAATAGGGCTCAAGGCTCTGGCAAAGCAGGGGCAGGAATCCCTTGTTAACTGCCTTTCCCCCCACCCCTCCCAATTAGAGATACCACCGCCACAGCGGGAGAAGTATCAGCACAGCCCACACTCAACAGATTAGGGCCACCCTGCATAGAGACCGTCTCATTTCCCTGAAGTTACTTTTCTTCAGTTCCAAATGAAGCATTTTAAGTTGCTTAGGACAGCAATCAGTGGCAGGTGCAGGAGCGGGGCATGAGAGGGTCCATACATCTGGGATTTGTCTCAGTAACCCCATAGTTGCTAGCTGTACTGGCACCTGCCATTCATAG